AACACAATTTTTGCTTGGTAGCCGGATTTCCGAGACTCCCTTTTGTTCTGATTATTGATATTTTCATTATGTCGTCGCGGAAGGACGACGTCAGTAACTTTTATGCCCGGATGGCTTTGACGGGGCTTAAGCGCTCCGACACTGATTTTGGCTCTTACGCTTTTGTCAAGCCTCGTTTAACCAGCCTACAGAAAAGCTTATACAGATAAAATCTCGTTAAAACGAAACTCTTGGGACTGGCCAAATTATAATGAAATTTTGTTGTACCAGATAAAGAAAAAAATCATTTTATTACATTGAACAATAAAGTTGTTTGTTATTCTCAAAATGTCATTCCAGTATTGGCTATACTGGGATTTGACCTGTATGTCAATGATGATAATCAAGTTACCCTTTTATACCGCTGCAACAGTTGCAAGCCAAACCATTCTTCTGACTTATGAAGGCCATATTCTAGATTGCTATGCTTAACAAATTTATTAATAATGTTAAATTAGTCTTTCTTGATTTTCGAGATTATCAGTGACTCTTGAATAAGCAGCGTAGTCATTCTAAGTCGCCTAAGGTGGTAGTTGAGTTTCACTAAGTGGACTGCAGTTTCGACCTCGCTTAAGCATTACGATACTCAAAACTTCGTGTCGAATCCCGCTGAAAGTGCCTGATGAGATAAGCTTTTTGTAGGCAAGGCTATACGAAAATTGATGACGTAGTGAAGTCTGTTCATTCGATTGAGACAAAAATTCAACTTGCTACTTTAAATTATCCGCACTATCTGGAAGACAGTTAACCATCTAATCCCACTTTTCTTATTTTTAAAGGTGGAACTCTGATTTCGATAAACGGTAGTCAACCTACAGCCTCCGGTGGCCTCTTTGTCAGCGTGTCGCCTCGTTCACGAGGCCTTACGTTCAGTGCCACTGGCAAGTCGGGCCTTCAGCTGGCCGAATCGTATTCTGGTCATTCGAGCTCTTCATCGGGCGGCAATCTGCTTCAGGGGCCTGGAACCGCAGCGGTGACAGGCGCCACCAATGGGCCGGCCTCGTGGCGTCTGGCGCAGACCGCCTTTGCGGGTGCCCCCACGGCGGCAGGCTGCGTCATCCAGCCTCGGATCATCAGTCCCGGACGCAGCGTCACTCGCTTGGTCGCCGTCGCCTCAGGTCTCTCGGCAGACTCTGCGTACTCTTCGGAGCTGAGTAGTTCCAGTTCCCTCTCCTCCTCGTCCTCGTACTCCTCCTACTCTCCCTTCTCCATCTCTTCGTCGTCGTCAACCTCCTGTTCCCCCTCGGCCTCATCTCCAATTCTCACAGAGTTCACGTCTCCGGGCAAAGCCCCTGCCTGTCTTCAGTCATTCTCGCTGGCCCCCTCATCCATCAACCACCTCGCCTCCACCACTCTTCAAGCGCCCCCCTCTTCTTCTTGCTCCTCTTCTCTCTCTTCGTCGCCGGCCGCTTTGGCTCTCAACTCCCCAACACTCACGGCTCCACGCCGCTCCGTCCAGCTGATAAAGCTGCGACACACCAACCAAGTGGCGCCGGTGGTCACTACGTCAACTGCCCCGGCGGCGGCAGGCAACGCCTCGGCTGCACTCGGCAACTCACTGATGGGGCTCCGCAGTCCGGGCTCGTCACACGCTTCCACCAGCGCGTCCCGGCAACGCTTCATGTCGGCCAGCCAGTTGGCCGGCGGGTCATGTGCACCGGCCGGCACCGGGAACGCAATAAGCGCCGTCCCACTGGTCGGGCAGATGCCCGCCCTAGTCTACACTCTGCATCGGGCCCCGGCCATCTCCGGCGGTCCGCCCGCCCTCCCGGCCTCCTCCGTCGCCGGGACCGATCACACAGCCATTCTCGTCTCTCAAGTGGTGCCCACTGCCTCCACCGGTGCCCCACATATGGCCGGTGTGAATCCCACATTCAGGCGTCACACCATCGACCTGGAGTCCATCGTTCTGCGCGGATCGCCCGCCGCCAATTCTGGCGGGCCTCTGCTCGTCCGCATTAACAACGCCGGTGAGCATAGCAACCTCATCTTATCTCTTCCGCCAGGCGCCACGTTGATCCAGACTCAGCCTGGCGCCACGGCAACTTGCGTTGGCCAGCGTCTCGGTGAGTCCGGATTCACTTCTCTGCTGCCCGGCTCCGTGCTGATGGCCACTACATCGGCCTCGGCCGGCTCGCTGGGCATTGTCCAGTCCGCCTCGGTCTGCCGAAGCCCATTGGAGGCGACGGTAACCGAGCA